CCACCTCTAGATCCGTCGGTTGAAGCGCAACAACAGCCCTCGGTCGATGGAGCAAATCTGGAAAGTTCATTAAGAAAATCGAACAGAGATGCTCAAAGGATCGGAGAGTTGGGGTCGTGACAGCGGTGCTTGTCGATGGGAATCTGAATCTGACACAGCCGTGTTTCACCCATCGCCATTGCACTAGATCGCGTAGCTCTTGAGCTGATACTGTCAACTTGGATCGATTGAGATCGTAATGACGTCCCTTGCTGTCGAAGAGCCATCCTGTTGCCTTGATATCACACAGCGGTAACCATTTGTGGCTGAAGAATACACGTGAGTCTCCGCGAGTCTTGATGCTGTCGTTCAGAGACAGTCGAGTGGGCAAAAATTTAATATCATCAGCTGATAAGAGAAACCCTTCTACGCGTTTAAGAAGATTCCTATTTTGTAGTGTACTTCGTTTCGGTATCTCCAGCAGGGCTATCGCTTCAGCTACAGGGATCGACTGGGGCTTGATGGTTGCATCTTTAGATAGCAATGGGGTGGATACATGCAATGGGGTCCTCTCTCTGACGAAAGTTAACATCCTTATCTTTCCGTCAGTTTCATCATTGTCGGTATTGTCTTGCACACTCTCATCATAGCTCATTAACTTTCCTTCAGTAACGGTCGAGCTACTATATGACGAAGGCAGCGAATCATTCAAATGACTTACGAAAACGACTGGATATTCATGCTGGATCATACTCGAATTAGACGTAACAGATACACTGACATCAAGCAGTCATTAATTGGAAAGGACCGGCACGAACGTCGTCAAGAATATCGATAAAGATACGCCGAGATCCAAGCGACAAAAGATTGGATCAGGCAGATGTAGCCTTTTGATTTATCCAGCACAAAACTATCCGGCTCTCGGGACATTCTTCTATCAAATTTTGATTCATTTTAGCTGTGAACAATTTGCACATTTATAAATAATAGAAATCTCGTCCTATCACGTGCAGCTGCTATGCTTAAAGCACATCTCAATTGATGTTGTCACGTATGCATCTCTCTGAAAGTAAGTTAAAATATCGTACATATATGTAACATCAGTGGATGGTCAACAACCCACATCTTCTGATCCACTCCGGACAATTTTGGTATACCGTTCAGTAAAAACAATTGGTCCGTCTTGCAAATGTTTCGATATAATTAAAAATGAATTGATTGGCAGGTATGTGATAATGATGGTCGACACAGTTTGAATAACATCAGTAAGACATGCATGTGCTAAGAAATACTACAACGTCATTGTCACCTTAGATTGAAGGCCATAAAGAAGTCAGCACTATTTGTGACAGCGTACAAGAAGTGTAGCCATGTCTATGGGCGTAAGTTTAGAATTTATGAGGGTTAAGGTGAAATTAGCTAGTAAAGTATTCATCTCGATTTATTTACAGCTTTTCCACTAAGCATCTCCAATTTATATGATTGTGCATCTTTGTGCACAATTTAAGCAATTCTTGTGAAATTGCTAGAAAGGTTATACATTGAATATTAAAAAAAATTATACATCTTTTTAGATATCATGATATGTTTATTCTTCTTGAGTCATAAATGTTTCTTTCGCTGAATGCATGTGGATGACGTCACAAGGATTACGGTCATGTTCACAATTACTATCATGATTTTGGATGCTGATTACGGACATAATGGTAGTCGTTCATTGGTCTAGATAGATAAGAATGCTTCTGGAAGGATCTAGAAAGACAAACTTAGAGATAGCACAAAGCTGGCGAAATCAAAAAGCTTGATATATTATTTTTGGTTTTTGCCATCTTCTCAACGGATAAAAATGTTTCATTTGTATTAAAAATATTTCACTAGCTCGCGTTCCGCATCGGAGCTAATAAGCCCCCACCACGTCTGTGCATATGCGACGTTCAGACAATCAGGTTAAAGCTCCTGTCATTCTGACACATATAATATTTGAGGCCTTTGGAAATGTTTTCATACATAGTTACCAGCCAAAAACTCTTTTTGTCATGATGACGCATAGCGATGACGTACAAGGATTACGGTAATGCGTACCATGATTACAAAATGTTTACGGACGTAGTGACCAGTCTTTTTCAATCACTTGGTAGGCTTAGAGGTCGCTCAGCATAGCGAGCTAAAGACCTTAAATGTTTTCATTTCAGTTTATATTAACACACAAACACTTTTTTAGCTTTCAATGGCAAATATCTAGTGCTAAAACGAGACGTTTGCTCATACGTTTTTATGAGCTAAGCAATCATTCACAAATAGTGCTGACTTCTGTATGATCTTCAACCAGATTAAATCTAAGGCTATGATGACTTCGCTGTCGTATTTCAAAGCAATCTGCATGTCTTAGTGATGTTTTTTTATACTGTGTCGACGATCGGTTTTACATACATACCTAGCAATTCAGTATTGAATTATATTGAGACATTTGAATGACGGACCACTTGTCTTTATGAAGAACGGTACAGAAAATTAGTTTGGCTGATAAAGTCAGTGTGGACCAGATGATCGACCATCCGGCTGTATTCGCTGATGTTACATTTATGAACTATATTTTGACTTTCTTAAAAAAAAGATGCGCACGTGGCATCATCAACTTATATTGCGCAGCATATCAACTGTATT